CTGCCCAATGTCTCCAACAGTCTCCTCCCGAGACTTCAGCAGCCTTCTCCCGAGCCCTGCAGCCCAGCAGCAGCTCCTCCTGAGCTATGCACACAGCAGCAGCTCCGCTCGAAGTCTCTCGATCATGCTCTTCCTTGGGCTTATATGGTGGTCCAAGAACCCTCCACAATGAGGTGTGCACCATGTGTACGACCTGATGCTGAGATCTGATGGCAGTGACGAACAAAGGAGGTGAGACTTAAGCCGAAAAGGCGTGCCTGCTTAGCCACTTGCCAAGGCAAGGTGACCATATAATTAGGTCTCCCTAGAGACCTCACAAGCCCAGCTGAACTATATCACAATATTAGGTACTGAAATAGTACTCAAATAGTCACAAACACAGTGACAGGTTAACATTTTCACCTGCCTTAGTCACATACTATTGTCTAGAAATATGTACATAGTATTTATAGGTCCCAGCAATGTTTTGGATACACGGGAGTATATAATTAATAATAATAATAATAATAATAATAATAATAATAATAATAATAATAATACCACTTAGGTAGTAGGTTGGTAGACAGCAACCGCCCAGGGAGGTACTACCGTCCTGCCAAGTGAGTGTAAAATGAAAGCCTGTAATTGTTTTACATGATGGTAGGATTGCTGGTGTCCTTTTTTCTGTCTCATGAACATGCAAGATTTCAGGTACATCTTGCTACTTCTACTTACACTTATGTCACACTACACATACATGTACAAACATATATATACACACACCCCTCTGGGTTTTCTTTTATTTTCTTTCTAGTTTTTGTTCTTGTTTATTTCCTCTTATCTCCATGGGGAAGTGGAACAGAATTCTTCCTCCGTAAGCCATGCGTGTTGTAAGAGGTGACTAAAATGCCAGGAGCAAGGGTCTAGTAACCCCTTCTCCTGTATAAATTACTAAATTTCAAAAGAGAAACTTTCGTTTTTCTTTTTGGGCCACCCTGCCTTGGTGGGATACGGCCGGTTTGTTTAAAAAAAATAATAATAATAATAATAATAAGTTCCCTTGTGATGAATGGTTTGAAAAATCGACAAGTTGAAGATTGAGACACTTATGCAACATATGAGAATCTTTATTCAGGAAACGTTTCACCACACAGTGGCTTCATCAGTCCAATACAAAGCAGAAAAGTGTAAGGAGGGGAGAAGTTTGAGGTAATCAGTCCCTCAGCCTGGAGTCGATGTGATCAGTCCATCAATCTTGTAGAATGTACAGCATAGGGATGTAGACGTGGCTTATATACTGTAGTCAGGTGAGGTGAAGCAGGAGGAGGCGGGGTCATAGTGGTACCATCCACTAGTCGAAGTAGGTCTTCGTCCAAAGGTTGGACAAGTGTTGAAGAATTCTTTGTAACAAGATCCCATGATGCTGCACACAACTGTCAGACACTGCAGCATCATGGGATCTTGTTACAAAGAATTCTTCAACACTTGTCCAACCTTTGGACGAAGACCTACTTCGACTAGTGGATGGTACCACTATGACCCCACCTCCTCCTGCTTCGCCTCACCTGACTACAGTATATAAGCCACGTCTACAGCCCTATGCTGTACATTCTCCAAGATTGATGGACTGATCACATCGACTCCAGGCTGAGGGACTGATTACCTCAAACTCCTCCTCTCCTTACACCTTTCTACTTTGTATTGGACTGATGAAGGCACTGTGTGGCAAAACGTTTCCTGAATAAAGATTCCCATATGTTGCATAAGTGTCTGAATCTTCAGTAAGTTTCCTTGAAGCATGATGTAAGACGTGTGTCACTCGTCTTATCTTATCACTCCACTAATGACAGTGGTGACATTTGATGAGCATCTTATCACTCCACTAATGATGGTGGTGACATTTGATGAGCGTACACTGCCTACACTTTATTTGTTTTCACTGTTAAGCATAAACATGTCTGTCTGTCTAGCTCTCTGTCTATCTGTCTGTCTAGCTTTCTATCTAGCTCTCTGTCTGTCTGTCTATGTGTCTGTCTTTCTGTCTGCCTATGTGTCTTTCTTTCTTTCTGTCTGCTTGTCTCTCTTGTCTCAGAGAGTTGCTCATGAACCAACAGAGATTACACACGATCACTATCTACAAGCATAGTAGAGCACTTTGTTTGGATTTTTGGGGTTATCCTAGGTAATTTACACTCTGTATAATTGTATTTACATATGTGTTCCTGTGAGATAGAGACAGAGATAGAGATAAAGAGACAGATGGAGATAGATACAGACAGATAGATGGAGATAGAGACAGCCAATCAGCCAGCCGCCAGCCAGCCTGTCGAACACGTATTACATGTTCCAGAATTGTTTCTTTTTACTTAGGGCACAGGTTATAGGACATTCTGGCAGGATGACACTGCCGGAGTACCAAAATCGAAAGGGTGTTGCACAAATGTCGCACATGGGTTATTATCAAAGATTTTGATATTTCTGTGACCACTTGTGGCCACATCAACCTCAAAGCCACTAAACTTGGGGTCAACATCACTTTCCTCTTAAAAGGGAAGTGTTAATATGACCTGATATCAGTGAATCCTTGGTGTGTGCGTGCTGCACTGTTTGCTCTAGCTGGCACTCAATTGAATTGGTGCTTCCACAAGGTACTAAGTGGTCCCAGATTTTTTTAATACTGCGCACACCGAGGACTAAGACCCATTCTATGCTGACCAGGCATCTTAGGCCAATTGTACCAAATTTGGAGGCAGGAAAAATAAAACATAGATCTATGTTTGGAGTGCTAGCGGTAAGAACGTAGATCTACATTTGGACAGTTAAGGGATTAAGACTGTATTTTGTGGTAGTGGAAGGCTAAGTGTACTCATGGATCATTGAATTAGACAACACACATAAAAACTTACAACAGTGACATTCCTTGAATAGAGAAATTAAAACCTAACAAATCCCCAGGCCCTGATGAATTGTTTGCAAGGGTTTTAGAGAAATGTAAAGAGGAACTATGTAAACCTTTGGCTAATCTTTTCAACATATCACTACAAACTGGCATAGTGCCTGATAAGTGGAAAATGGCAAATGTAATACCTATTTACAAGACAGGTAACAGGTCTTGAGCTTCGAACTATAAACCAATAAACCTTACCTCCATAATGGGAAAATTTATGGAATCAATAATTGCCGAGGCAATTCGTAGCCATCTTGATAGGCATAAATTGATAAATGAATCTTACAATGGTTTTACAAAGGGGTGTTCCTGTCTTAAGAATTTACTAAGTTTTTTCGCTAAGGTGTCTGAGGAGGTAGATCATGGTAATGAATATGATACTGTGTATATAGACTTCAGTAAGGCTTTTGATGGAGTTCCACATCAGAGACTTTTGAGGAAACTTAAGGCACACGGAATAGGAGGAGAAATTTTTTACTGGGTAGAGGCATGGTTGACAAATAGGCAGCAAAGAGTTTGCATAAATGGGGAGAAATCAGAATGGGGGCACATCACAAGCAGTGTTCCACAGGGGTCAGTGTTGGGCCCCCTGTTGTTCACAATTTACATAAACGACATAGATGAGGGAATAAATAGCGACATAAGCAAATTTGCTGATGACACCAAAATAGGCCATCCAATTCATTCTACTGAGGACATTAGTGCACTCCAGGATGATTTGAACAGATTGATGCAGTGGTCGGAGAAATGGCAGATGCAGTTTAATATAGACAAATGCAAAGTGCTAAATGTTGGACAAGACAATAACCATGCCACTTATATACTAAATAGTGTAGATCTTAATACTACTAACTGCAAAAAGGATTTAGGAGTTCTGGTTAGCAGTAATCTGAAACCAAGACAACAGTGCATAAGCATTCGCAATAAAGCTAACAGAATCCTTGGCTTCATATCAAGAAGTATAAATAATAGAAATCCTCAGGTTGTTCTTCAGCTCTGTATATCCTTGGTTAGGCCTCATTTAGATTACGCTGCACAGTTCTGGTCACCATATTACAGAATGGATATAAATGCACTGGAAAACATACAGAGGAGGATGACAAAGCTGATCCCATGTATCAGAAATCTTCCTTATGAGGATAGACTGAGGGCCATGAATCTGCACTCTCTAGAAAGGCGTAGAATTAGGGGGGATATGACTGAGGTGTATAAATGGAAAACAGGAATAAATAAAGGGGATGTAAATAGCGTGCTGAAAATATCCAGCCAAGACAGGACTCGCAACAATGGTTTCAAGCTGGAAAAGTTCAGATTCCCGAAGGACATAGGAAAGCACTGGTTTGGTAATAGAGTTGTGGATGAGTGGAAGAAACTCCCGAGTACCGTCACAGAAGCTATAACCTTGTGTAGTTTTAAAAATAAGTTGGATAAATACATGAGTGGGTATGGGTGGGTGTGAGTTGGACTTGACTAGCTTGTGCTACCAGGTCTGGTGCCATGCTCCTTCCTTAAGTGGAAGTGACCTGACTAGGTGGTCATTGTTCTAGGCCGGGGGGTGGCATGGACCTGCTTTGCATGGGTCAGTAAGCCTGTTGCAGTGTTCCTTCTTTCTTATGTTCTTAAAAAATGCATGATAGTAAGAATGGATTGCCTGGAAATTCAAACTTATGGTACGAGATGAAAAGTAATGCGAATAGCCAGACCCAAGCCAGAAGTGAGCACAATACGTACAAGTAAGAAAGATAATGACATACAGTGGAACTTCGGTATGCGACCTTAATTCATTCCAGAAGGCTGTTCGAGTGCCACTCCGTTTGAGTATCGACCAAGTTCTTCCCAATCAATTTTCTGTTTGGCTGGCTGTTATCACTATCGTCATAGGCCCCATGGTGACTTATTTGAAGAAGAAACATGAAATAGTTTACAGCAAAGTTCTGGCAGGCCACATTTGTGTGGTCGAGTGCTGAGCTTTGTTCGAGTAGGGAGCTGGTCATATACCGAGGTTCCACTGTACTATGCAAAAAAAATATTTTAATAAAATAAAAAACTGAATGAATTAATTTTTTCCCCTTACCTCATGTTTGCGCTTTTTCTTTAATGACTGAAAAAGCTCTTCAACAGCAGCTTTTCTCTTTGGTTTCCTCTTTTGGTCGATTATCTCTACATCAAAGATACTTTTTTTAATAGGTGTTGTTTCTAAGTCTGGCAGCTCCTCCTCTGAAAGATTCACTACAACTTATGATTGTAAATCTTTAAATCTGCCTATTTAAAATCTTATTTAATTAATAAAAATAAATATATTTTGCTTATTTACTCTTGCCAACAATAGCAATGTGCACATGAACCATTTGAAATTTTTTTTATTTAACATTTTAATTTGTTCTCTGAAACTATAATATATATCAATCTGCAGTCTTTTTAACATAAATAGCATTAAGTTGAATAATATGCTTACCTTGTTTTTATTTCTTATTTCATTAACCCTTAATCTGTCCAAACGTAGATCTACGTTTGCACGCGTAATGCTCTGAACGTAGATCTACGTTTTTTTGTTTCTTATGAAGAAAATCAACGTCGGAGCGCTATGCGCACAAATGTAGATCTACGTTTGGACAGTTTAAGGGTTAATGAATAACTATAAACATGATTTTCATATTCTCTGTTATCAATACTTAAACATCTTACACTCAACATCTTAGCTATAGCTCTAAAATTAAAATTTCCTAAATTATCCCTCCCTTAACTGCAATTCCTAATGTTTGCATACATACCAAATGCTTTAACCACTATTAAATGATGTACAGTATTAAGGTCTGCATCTAACAATTCTCAGCTTAAGGAGAAGGAAATGTGCACCTGGGACCATCTAGTTTAACTGATCCTAAGACAGTACATAACAGCCTTAATATGACTTTTAGTCCAGATTTTGTTTCTGATTATGCTTGCCTCTCTCAGTAGATTATAAATACTCTAACTTTCAGAACATGTAAGACTTGACCTGACCTTGACCATCTCTTAATCTTCCTATGCCATGACTATCTTGCTTTCTCCACTTTTCTTGATAATAGTCCAGGACAGTTATGTTGTGAATTATTCCAGAAATGTTATTGCAACTTATTCTGCTTAAAACTGATTATAAATTGTAGGACAATCAAAATGCTATACAAGCAGAGAATGCTAATAAAACCCTCTAAAAAGATGAATAATAATACCAACCTTTAATGCTATCTGTTGAGTGCTGATCTGGCTCTGGGCTTGAAGACCGTGAATCTGAAGAACTGGCAGTGGTAGCTGCTGGCGAGAGGAGCATCACCACCTCATCATGGGGTCCCAACTGTTTGCCCGGGCTGCAGCTACTGCTGCCAGGTTCCATGTCTTCACCTGTCTCATTTGTTCCCTGAGAAGACCATTAAATGCTCTTTAAAACTATGTAAGATAGATAAAATTATTAAAAGAATGATGTCATATCATACACACCAAAAATTATGCAGAAACTAGTTGCAGCAATGGATGCTGACCTCAAGCTTGGAGTGCCAGCCTTTGGCATAAATTAACATTGCAGATGCCATCACCTACGTCGAAAGTGCATGGAACAAAGTATCCCAATCAACATGAAATGCCAACTGGGGAAAGTTGTGGCCTAATGTGGTGAATACTTCCACAGGGTTTCCATCAGCTGAGAGCCAGGTCCAGGAAAATGTTCAGCTGGTAAGAAGATTGCCAGTGAGGGCTTTGAAGATATGCAGGAAGATGTGAGTGAACTGTTAGAAGATGATGAAGAAGAAAGAAGTCTAGAGAAAATGTTGGCAGAGCTCAATTCCCATATACAAGGGAGGCAGATAACAGATGAAAATGAGGAAGAAGAACCTGAACATTGCAACAGCTATGTGAGCAGTTCCATATTGCTGGTCAAGTAGCAGACATTTTCAGAGAAGAGGACCCTAACAAATCTAGAAGCACTGATCTGAAAAGAGGTCTGAGGAGCTGCTGTTGCCTTACTATCAACTGTATAAAGTACTGCAGGGTAAAACAGACCAGAAATGCATTACAGAATCCCTCAGTACACTAGTACAGTCATCAACATCAGTGCAAGACCCCTCAGCCAATGCTCCACAACCTTCCATGTCAACCCAGTAGTGCTACACCATCCCCCTCCTCACATTTTAACATCAACATACACCAACAACCAGAATTTAAGGCAAGAAATATTATTTATGTAACCTTTCACAGCTATAAATATTGGATTAATTATAACACATCACTACACTGACATACAGTTACATTATTATCACTAGTTTTACAATTTTCAGACCTAAAACAAATTGGGCTGGCTTTTATGGGGTCTAGGAAATGAAACTCTATTTTTCCTACATGTTCTTCAGTTCATTATACAAGATTCTTTTTATTACATGCCAAGTTTTGGAATGTAGCTACTGTGCTAACCAATGGTCACCTATGTTTAGAAGCAAGATGATCTGATTCTAGTTTCCTCCATACACATTCACAATTTCCCCCAGCTGTTACATAAAGTACCTGCCATTCTAAAGCACTGGCTTCCACTTTTCTTCATCCCATATAACCCTTTCACTAAAAAAAACCCATACCATGGGCGGGGATAGAACCCGCGATCAGAGAGTCTCAAAACTCCAGACCGTTGCGTTAGCCACTGGACCACCCCCGTGGTATGGTTTGTTTGCAATCTTGTCTTTACGATTTCATGAGTCAACCCTTTCACTATTGTAACCCCCCAAAATTAAAAGTGTTATCAGTGTCATGATTTAAAAAAAATAAGAATTTTTTCTTCTGAAATGGTAGATTTTTTTTCTGAAGGTAATGATAGCTAAAAGAGAAACTTTCGTTTTTCTTTTTGGGCCACCCTGCCTTGGTGGGATATGGCTGGTTTGTTGAAAAAAAAAATGATACCTAAAAAATTAAATAGATGAAACTTATGGAATTACATAAGGACAAAGTTGGCAGTTTGAGCACAATTTACACTGGTGATTTCACTCACTTTGAGCCCTATTTAAAGCCAATTCCAATGCTCAATTTAACCAAATTCTGAGTTATTTCCATTCTATCAACTGAGCACAAGAAACAACACATTCAACTATCAGAATAACCTATAAAGTGCACAGAAGTCAGTAATTCGGCCAGTTTTATATGAAATTACAAATTTCAATTTAAAAAGAGTCCAAAATAAACATTTCACATTCACGTCACTAAAGCAGCCTATCTTCTGTTAATTAGTCACAGCCATAAGCCTCTCCTCACTTAACACCTTCAAGGTCCAAGGCCAAAATCTGAAGTGGTGCCCCAGTGTCCAAGAATTTAAAAAAAAAAAATTTGTCATTTTTTCTTATGAAATGGTAGAGAATGTTTTTGTGAAGGTAATAAAACAAAAAGTATGAAATTTGATGGAAAATTGACGAAATTATGTTCTCGCGAATTTTGATGTGTCAGCGATATTTACAAAATCGGCGATTTTGCCGAATTTGACTCCCATTTTAAGCCAATTACATTATTCCAGTCGACCAAATTCTTAGCTATTTCACTAGTATTACTTCTATTCTATCAATTGAGCACAAGAAATCGCCAAGTCAACTGTTTCAACTACAAAATAAAGTGATCGGAAATTGGTAATTTGGCCAATTTAACACAAAGTTCGAAATATTCCAATTTCAAAATAGGGTCCAGAATAAACAATGTAGGTATTCCTGGCACTAAACTAACATTTCCTCTGTTCATTAGTTATATTTTGAGGCTTTACAAATAAATTCCATTTTGATTTTTTATTCACATAGTGAATTTTTATTCACACCAAAAAATAGAAGATTTACTGTTATGCCATATTGTAATAATTGTATAAATATCATCACCACTCAGTTTCAAGCCATTTCCAGTGCTAAAACCAATCAAAATCATCTCTATTTCTGTAATATGTCTTCTGTTCTATCAAATGAGACTAAGAAATCGCAAATACAACTATAAAAAACATACGAAAAAACACTGCAAAGTCGCTGTTTTAATCGAAAATCATGGTCTCAGTTTTTTCTCTCATTATACACAGTGTGCTGCAGGATTTGTTTTATGTGGTGCACACATATCACATAGATGTATTCGCTCATATCTAGGCCCAAACGTACCACTCACAGTTTATCAGAGTGAGCTGAGCTCACGGTGTAGATCTACAGTTTGGACCCTGAACGTAAAGCCATAGATCTAGGGGACGGACCCTGAAAGGGTTAATGATGGAGTTCCATTCCTAAGACCATGTCGGTAAACAAACTCGTTGCTAAGTGAGGGGCATACTATAATGGTAGTGGGTTTGGGTCAACCATCGTTGATATTGCTTTAATGTCACCTTTGAACCATTTATAACATTTCTGGTATATTTTTAAATGTTTACACAGTAGTTTACTGTATATTTTAATAAACAGAATAGAGGAAATTAGCTCTAATATACATTATTTAGGTGTGCATACTGGTCAGAGAGCTCATCGTAAGTCCGAGTCATCGGTAAACGAGTATGTCGCAAAGTGAGGAGAGGCTATATTATGGAAAAGGACAATTATGTTCACTATGCCAAGTATATAATATCAAATAATATTAAGTTCCATTTTTATCTACTAAAAATATTCTGGATAATTAGGATTTTTTAAATATATGAAACAAATGTCACCTAATTTTGTAAAAATTATGTATGTTCTTGTTTGTCTGCTCGCTTGTTGCGCTCCTGCCATAAGGAATATGACACCATAGAATGGGTCATCATATGACAAAAACCTGAATCAGGTGATTTTTTTTTCCTGACAAATTTAAAAGCAACAAAGATTTCTATTCCTGTAGATGTATATAGATGGAAGAGGTGCCTGGGAGCCTCAAGCAGTCTAAAACAATAATAAAAAGTTAGAGAAAAATTTAAGAGTGAGAAATCATAACCAAATGAATGTAGCAGCCTATTATTCTAAACAGTGTACTGTAATGATTAAGTTTTCCACATCCCTATAAGAAAATAATAAAATAACTGTTGAAAGCTAATTTAATACATGAGGTAAAACATAAACCATATTTATTAAAAAACAAATCAACTTTACCTTCGGCTCAAACTTTGTGAGTGCTCCGGAGCGCACAACTTTGGTAACTCCATCAAAGAACAACACCTCATATTGATCTGAAAATATCCATATATCACCTTCAACCATTTACCACATCCATTTACTGTAAGAGAAATATACATAAATTTTTCATCACTATATAAAAATAATAAAATTATTACACTGTATTTTAAGTTAGATCTTTGAGTAGCTTTAACCCTTAAATTGTCCAAACGTAGATCTACGTTTGTGTGCGTAGCGCTCCGACCTTGATTTTCTCCATAAGAAACAATGTAAAAAAAGTAGATCTACATTCGGAGCACTACATGAGCAAACATAGATCTACGTTTGGACAGTTTAAGGGTTAAAAGTAAGGTGGATAGGTACATGAGTGGGTGTATTTGGATGTGAGCTGGACTTGCCTATCATGGATCAACAGACTTGTTGCTGTACTCCATGATTATTTCTTAAGAAACACTCTATTAGGGAATATAAAGGAAAGTTTATATTGAATGTAAGTAGAAGTTGGCAAGATTTGTAAACAATTCTGATGGCGTGGAATATATTTAACATGCTTCCATTTCAGCCCTATAGACCAGAACAGTAGTACCTTCCTAGATGGTTGCTGTCTACTACCTGCCTATGTAGCTATCAATATTTTATTGAACATGTCAACATCTCCCATCAAGCTATGGTGACCCCCCCCCCCAAACAAAAAAAAAAAAAATCATCACTCAGTTTATAACTATCTTGCCACAAGATCTGGAGTCTACCTGGAGGGTGTTTCAGGAGTCAATGCCCCCGTGGCCTGATCCATGACCAGGCCACATGAAGGATCAGGGCCTGATCAACCAGGCTGTTACTGCTGGCCACACACAATCCAATATATGAACCACAGCCCAGTTGGTCAGACAATGACTTTATGTATCTGTCTGGTTTCCTCTTGAAGACAGATAGGAGTCTAATGATAATCCTCCTTACGTATGATGGGAAGCTGTTGAACAGTCTTGGGCCCTGACACTTATTTTGTTTTCTTTCCATGTACTCACGGTACCCCTGCTTTTCATTGGGGGTATGTTGCACTGACTGCCACGTCTTTAGCATTCATAGGGAATGATTTGTGTGTGCAAATTTGGGACCAGTTCCTTTAGGATTTTCCAGGTGTAAATTACGATGCACCTTACTCACCTGCACTCCAAGGAATAAAGGTCTAGGGCCTTCAAATGTCCTGGTAACTGAGAGTGCAGACACCATAATTCAAATGATCCTCCAAAATACAACATCCATGCCTCTTCCTGTGAATGCAGGGACTGTTCATCCCACCTCAAAGACTCAAATTCAGCTAACCAGTTGCCTCCAAATCCCTTCATAAATGTGATCTTGCTCACACCCTAACAGCATGTCAAGCCAACTCCTTCCCTCCAACCTTACCATTATACAACCACTTGGCCACACTGTTCTGCTCCAACCACTCTAAATGCCCATAACTCCACATCCAGGGGCTTTTAACAACATATATCAGGCCTATCTTGGAGTATGCAGGACTAGTATGGAAAACACACCTGAGGAAGCATGTTAAGAAACTGGAGAAAGTGCAGAAGTACACAACTAGGCTTGTTTCTGAGTTAAGAGGCATGCCTTATGAAGGGAGGCTAATGGAACTAAATCTAATGACATGGGAGGATATAAGAACCAGGGGAGATAAGATAAGAACATACAAAATACTCGGGGCTCTTTGAGAGATGAGAAATGGAAACTTGGGAACACAGCTAGTTAAAGATACAGATGAGCCACAGAGATGACAAAGTATTTCTCCAGTCTCAGGGTGGTCAAAAAATGGAATGATCTTGGTGAAGAAGCAGTGAAGGCAGGCTCTACACACAGCTTTAAGTGTAGGTACAATAAGACCCATGAGGCTAGGAGGGAAGTGAATCTGGCAAGCAGCAAGTTGAAAGACTGGGCCAGGAACTGAGACTCGACCCCTGCAGCCACATATAGGTGAGTATTGTCTTCTGTGAATATATTATCAGAAAAGGTGGCCCTGCTGCTGATCTGTTAGAACTCTCCACTGTGTGGCACCACCCATAGGATGAATCAAAGACCAACTGGACAGTTACACTAAACATGGTACCGGTATATCCTACAAGCACTAGGAATCTCTGGCTCCATGCTACGCCTCTTGACAGACTACCTTCAGTGTTGATCCCTTAGGGTAGCTCTTAATAGATTATTATTATTACACTGATGGGCAACCCTAAACTAGTAGGGGCCATACAGCACCTGGGGAAATGGAAGGTATCAGATTCGATTAAAGGAATTGGAGCACAGGTCCAATTTCTTTGATCAAGAGCCTCTACCCAGCATCAAGGAACCTCACTTGAAAGGAACTCTCTTAATGGAGAAGAGTCCAAATCATCATAACCAGTGTACTATGCATAAGTAGATGACGGCAGTCTAATATTTACTATGTACAAAAATTAAATCCTGTTTTCTTGTCTGTACAACTATTTTTAAAACCATTCTCAGCCACTTGTTACAACAGGTCAAGTAGTGACAGTATAAAATGCTTATGCTATCACTCAGAATGCTACTACATTATTATCTTTTCCACCAATAATTATTATCTCCATAGAGAAGTGGAAAAGAATCCTTCATCCATAATCAACACATGCTGTAAGAGGCAACTAAAATGCCAGGAACAAAGGGTTAGAAACCCCTTCTCCTGTATAAATTACTAAGTGAAATAAATGGACAAATGTGCAACTAATAAGAAATATGCTGCAAGCTACATCTTGCTCAACAGGAGCTTCGTCAAGCCAAAACAAACAATAGTCTATGAACATAGGATATATAAAGAAAGTTCAATGCACTGGATCTTTACACTGGGATGATATAGCTCCTGGTGGGCAAAATGTAGGCTCAGTATATGTCACATTAGGTGTTCATGTCCATTTATTTAATTACTGTCACCAGTTTTACCAAAAAATCATCAGTACTTACCATCTCCTAATACTTTAACAACTCTAGCTTGGTAGCGCTTGCCATCAGCTGCCCAGCGCGCTGTTACTCGATCTCCAACACGAAACTGACAGTTCTTTTTATCCTTTCTGTAATGGAATGATAAAATTCAGAGGATAAAAATAAATACAACATTTCTCGATAAATTTATTACAATAAAATAAACTCTAAATCATATAATTATCTACCGTTTTATTAATTTATAATAATACATCATTTTCCACTACCTATCAAGAAGGCTAACAAAGAACCTCTGAAATACTGTTAAAGGTTATGTTGATAAGGCACTTGTAAGTAAACCATGGTAATGTCTCAATAACCTTTAGGTTTGAGTGCTCACTTCAGGTAGCGAGGTGTTCTCACATTTATATCAGTTGGATCAGCAAAGCTGATACAATGTCTAGCCCTTAAAATTTCTATTACAAAGACTGAATTTATTAAATCCTTGCAAAACTGCTCAGTGAAAAGTCTGAAGAGCAGGACAACAATAAATACTTTACCGTATATGTCTTCATCTTGTAACAATCTCGAGTGGCTTTGTTGGTAAAGTTAATACTGTGAGTGTGGAAGCAGTCTCATGGCTGAAGGATTTGAGAAGGGAAAAACATGATTTGCAGAGTAGTGTCTACTTTGAAATTAGTGGATGGAGGAGCGAGTCTCCACCACTCTTTGCAATAAAGGACCCATATAGGTCTACTGCTTCCCATAAACATAATGATAATCTTTCGCAGGGCCTCTGTTCATGCCACCTTGAACAGCTCTGAGTAAGCCACATGAATAAAGTGCTTTTTAGTGGTTTGGGCCTGTAGAGAGGCTGGAGAGGAATAGGTGACAAAGAACACGAAAAAAAAGTCCAGGGTGGAAGGTACGAGAGAAAGGGGTCATCCCTGGAATGGTTGGAGGGAGGAAGTAAAAGAGGCTTTGAGTTTTAGGGGCTTGAGCACCCAGCAGGCTTGTGTGAGCATGCTGGATGGGAGTGAGTGGAGAGAAGTGGTTTTTAATGGACATCCTGTTGGAGTGTGAGCAATGTAATTTTTCTGAAGGGACTCAGGAAAACTGGTTAGCTTGAGTCCTGGAGGTGAGATAGGCAGTGCCTCCACTCTGAAGGAGTGGAGATGTTACAGACAGAGGTTAATCTGTCTGTGATGTAAGTAAATGCCTGGAAAGACAGCGAGTGAAGGAATGATGGTTAAATGTGTTTTCTTCTATGGGTCATCCTACCTTGATGGGAGAGAGCCGAGTTAAAAAAAAAAGTAACAACAACAACAATAGGAATAGCAACAACAACAACAACAACAACAACAACAACAACAACAATAATAATAATAATAATAATAATAATAATAATAATAATAATAATAATAATAATAATGGCTGTTTGGAGTGACATCTAAACTGTCATATCTGGGTGCCTCTGCAAAGACAGTGATTTTGTGTGAATGATGGTGAAAGTATTTTTTTTCTTTCTAACTGCCTTGGTGGGAGATGGCTAATATGTTGATAAAAAATAATAATAATAATAGCTGGGAGCAAGAAGCTAGTTACTCTTTCTCTATAAATTACTAAATGTAAAAAGAAGAAGAAGCTCTTCTTTTTCAGGTCACCATACCTAGGTGGGAGACAGATGGTGTGTAAAAAAACAACAGCAATAATAATACTTCCCGGTAAAAGTAGGTCTTAGACAGGGATGTGTAATGTCACCATGGTTGTTTAATATATTTATAGATGGGGTTGTAAAAGAAGTAAATGCTAGGGTGTTCAGGAGAGGGGTGGGATTAAATTATGGGGAATCAAATTCAAAATGGGAATTGACACAGTTACTTTTTGCTGATGATACTGTGCTTATGGGAGATTCTAAAGAAAAATTGCAAAGGTTAGTGGATGAGTTTGAGAATGTGTGTAAAGGCAGAAAGTTGAAAGTGAACATAGAAAAGAGTAAGGTGATGAGGGTATCAAATGATTTAGATAAAGAAAAATTGGATATCAAATTGGGGAGGAGTAGTATGGAAGTAGTGAATGTTTTCAGATACTTGGGAGTTGACGTGTCGGCGGATGGATTTATGAAGGATGAGGTTAATCATAGAATTGATGAGGGAAAAAAGGTGAGTGGTGCGTTGAGGTATATGTGGAGTCAAAAAACGTTATCTATGGAGGCAAAGAAGGGAATGTATGAAAGTATAGTAGTACCAACACTCTTATATGGATGTGAAGCTTGGGTGGTAAATGCAGCAGCGAGGAGACGGTTGGAGGCAGTGGAGATGTCCTGTCTAAGGGCAATATGTGGTGTAAATATTATGCAGAAAATTCGAAGTGTGGAAATTAGGAGAAGGTGTGGAGTTAATAAAAGCATTAGTCAGAGGGCAGAAGAGGGGTGTTGAGGTGGTTTGGTCATTTAGAGAGAATGGATCAAAGTAGAATGACATGGAAAGCATATAAATCTATAGGGGAAGGAAAGAGGGGTAGGGGTCGTCCTCGAAAGGGTTGGAAAGAGGGGGTAAAGGAGGTTTTGTGGGCGAGGGGCTTGGACTTCCAGCAAGCGTGCATGAGCGTGTTAGATAGGAGTGAATGGAGACGAATGATACTTGGGACCTGACGATCTGTTGGAGTGTGAGCAGGGTAATATTTAGTGAAGGGATTCAGGGAAACCGGTTATTTTCATATAGTCGGACTTGAGTCCTGGAAATGGGAAGTACAATGCCTGCACTCTAAAGGAGGGGTTTGGGATATTGGCAGTTTGGAGGGATATGTTGTGTATCTTTATATGTATATGCTTCTAAACTGTTGTATTCTGAGCACCTCTGCAAAAGCAGTGATAATGTGTGAGTGTGGTGAAAGTGTTGAATGATGATGAAAGTATTTTCTTTTTGGGGATTTTCTTTCTTTTTTTGGGTCACCCTGCCTCGGTGGGAGACGACCGACTTGTTGAAAAAAAAAAAAAAAAAAAAAATAATAATAATAATATGTAGATAGTAGGTTGGTAGACAGCAACCGCCCAGGGAGGTACTACCGTCCTGCCAAGTGAGTGTAAAACGAAAGCCTGTAATTGTTTTATATGATGGTAGGATTGCTGGTGTTTTTTTTTCTGTCTCATAAACATGCAAGATTTCAGGTACGTCTTGCTACTTCTACTTACACTTAGGTCACACTACACATACATGTACAAGCATATACAGTGGACCCCTGCATAACGATCAGCTCCCAACTCGACCAATTATGTAAGTGTATTTTTGTAAGTGCTTTTGTAGATGTATTTTTAGGGGTCTGAAAAGGACTAATCTAATTCACAATATTTCTTATGGGAACAAATTCGGTCTATAACGGCACCCAAACAGACTTCTGGATTGAAATAATATCGTTATGTGGGGGTCCACTGTACGTATATACACAAACCCCTCTGGGCTTTCTGCTATTTTCTTTCTAGTTCTTGTTCTTGTTTATTTCCTCTTATCTCCATGGGGAAGTGGAACAGAATTCTTCCTCAGTAAGTCATGCGTGTTGTAAGAGGCGACTAAAATGCCGTGAGCAAGGGGCTAGTAACCCCTTTTCCTGCATAAATTACTAAATTTAAAATGAGAAACTTTTGTTTGTCTTTTTGGGCCACCCTGCCTCGGTAGGATATACAACATATCCCTCCAAACTGCCAATATCCCAAACCCCTCCTTTAAAGTGCAGGCATTGTACTTCCCATTTCCAGGACTCAAGTCCGACTATATGAAAATAACCGGTTTCCCTGAATCCCTTCACTAAATATTACCCTGCTCACACTCCAACAGATCGTCAGGTCCCAAATACCATTCGTTTCCATTCACTCCTATCTAACATGCCCATGCATGCTTGCTGGAAGTCCAAGCCCCTCACCCACAAAACCTCCTTTGCTCCCTCCCTCCAACCTTATCGAGGACGACCCCTACCCCTTCTTCCTTTCCCTACAGATTTATACACTCTCCATGTCATTCTACTTCGATCCATTCTCTCTAAATGACCAAACCACCTCAACAACCCCTCTTCAGCCCTCTGACTAATGCTTTTATTAACTCCACACCTTCTCCTAACTTCCACACTCTGCATTCTCTGCATAATATTTACACAAAATATTGCCCTTAGACAGGACATCTCCACCGCTTCCAACCGCCTCCTCGATGCAGCATTTACAACCCAAGCTTCACACCCATATAAGAGTGTTGGTACCACTATACTTTCATACATTAACTTCTTTGCCTCCATAGATAATGTTTTTTGTCTCCACATATACCTCAATGCACCACTCACCTTTTTTCCTTCATCAATTCTATGGTTAGCCTCATCCTTCATAACTCCATCCGCTGACACGTCAACTCCCAAATATCCGAAAACATTCACTTCTTCCATACTCCTCTCCGATTTGATATCCAATTTTTTTTATCTAAATCATTTGATACCCTCATCACCTTACTGTTTTCTATGTTCACTTTCAATTTTCTACCTTTACACACACTCCCAAACTCGTCAACTAACCTTTGCAACTCTTCTTTAGAATCTCCCATAAGCACAGTATCATCAGCAAAAAATAACTGTGTCAATTCCCATTTTGTATTTGATTTCCCATAATTTAATCCCACCCCTCTCCCTAACACCCTAGCATTTACTTCTTTTACAGCCCCATCTACAAATATATTAACCCTTCATCGCGCAAGGGGTCCGAAAATTTGAAATTCGAACTGAACTCCCTATGGTGGATAGAGTAACTCAATACAAGGTCACTGATCCCATATAAATTGATTTCTGATGGTTAGTTTTCGAGCAATTGCCAATCTCCGAAGACCGAAAATATTAGGCCGCCCCCGACAAAGTGATTAAAAAATTTTATGTTGCAAACTTGCAATTGTTAATAAAACACACCAAAACAATTTTTTAAATTTAATATACAAACAGACAATATAAAAAACATAAATGGAACTTGTATCAAAACATTTTTTAATTGTTACAAAAATAAAAAAAGGAAGCAAATATCAACAATGCCAATTGCAAAGTTGATGCAAGTTTCAATCCCTATATTCTTTAGATTCATTTGGAAGACCAATGATTCTATATTGCTAATTGGCAAGATGGA